TCGCTTTTTCTCTCATACTAAAGCAGCCTCTGATTGGTCACATGTTATCTCATACTTAAGCAGCCTCTGATTGGTCACATGTTATCTCATACTTAAGCAGCCTCTGATTGGTCACATGTTATCTCATACATATGCAGTCTTTGACTAGTTACACCGATGTTGTTACTCATACATAAATATTGGGGTGCTTTATTACATTTTAACTGTTATAAAAATAAATATCATGTCAGTGGTAATACCTCCAAAAACACTATTTTTATCGGTAAACTTATTTTAAAAAGCTATTCCAGAAAATGTTCTTGAATTCATCTATCAGAACTAAAACGAACAATTCTGCCAGTGGTTTATTCATAACCTAAATTTAGATTCCTTGCCTTGAGGTCTCCAAGACGTATTCAGAGGAGATACATAACATTTTTAATGTTTCCAATAAAGAGCTTATAATAAGAATGTCGGTGGATGAAACTTGAAAGTATCCTATTTCCGAATGTTATTTTGAACCCATTCATCGAACGTATATTGGTCTTACAGTTGTCGTTCCTCAAGACATCTAATTCTCCACCGTTACTGTTGTACAACCTTGTTAACGATACCGATTTTTTATGGTCTGTTTTGATATGTCTCTTTATATATATACTCTTATTCTGGCTTAGTTTGTAAAAATTTTCATATGTTCTTTTTAGTATCACAAAGAGAAGGATCATGGCTCCACGAACAGCATGGCTTGTGCCTTGGCACTCTTGTTTTGTGTGGGATGTCTACAGGCTATTGTGTTACCTCGGTAAATGACTTTTCTTTTCCCAAAAGTTTAATGTTGGTGTTTTCTTTTGTAAGTTACAAGCTTAACACGATAGAAATGAAAGAAAATAAATACAAATTATGTAAAATATTCTAGATTAAGAATTGTTAAATCTTATGATTCTCATGTTGAAATCTGAAGAAGAAATGAAAATGTTAACACTTTTTGGGTAAATAGCTACATTTAATTATGATTTAGCATTTGATGCCCCAGATTATATATTGGCTTCAAATAACATAATACACTTTGGGCTTGGCATGGCCTGATGGTTAGGGCACTTGATTCGTAACCTGAGGGCCGTCATTTCTAATTCTGGTCACCAAACATGCTCGTCCTATATGGTTGCCATCTGGGCTGGCCATCCAAGTGTAAAACGTTTTGGCTTACAAAATTACTGGCCAACCCCAAACTAGTTTGAATTAAGGTCGTCACAGGGAAGAAGAAATAACATTATGCACTAGTACATCATTGAATATCAAAACTACTATAATAATGTAATGCACTACTCATATTGAGACTTTTTGTTACTTCTATGTAACACAGCATTCACTTCCAAAGCTCTTCCAGGGCAGATTAAATATTTCCATTTCTACATTAATAACCTACTATGCATAATTTATATTATAATCTATTTATTATCTTTGATTGTTCTAGCACACTTCTCCTAGTGGTCTTGTTTGTGATAGCCTTTCTGTGGATATCGGCTCTCTTTTCTATGCTGTTGGCTGCTCGAACCAAAGTAAGTTGTTTGTTTTGAATACGTAAGAAAGAAAGTATATCTGTTACCCATGCCTGTTTCTCATAGATTAGGATAGAAATACCATCAGTTGTCATAATATTCCGTGTTCTTAAAGTAGATTGACATTTCTAATTGGTTCCCTTACTGTATTGTGAGAAAGCAGTTCAATAATCGTGTTTCTTTTATCGGCAGTGCAGATTCTGTCCTTGTCATAAAAAAGTTATAATTTGTTAATTACTCTGTGGAATTTCATCAATAAAAACATGAATTATTCAGCTTTTTTCTATCACAAAACTTTAAATACTCTACTTTAAGTAGGACCTCAAAATATTAAATGTTTTATCCGCAGAATTTATACCAGGTGGGGGCAAGCCATGACACAGCTCAAGCCATTTGCTTTGAAGTTTGAATGCAATGATCTGGCTAATTATGGCTTATTTATGTAAGCCTAATTTCCTAACTTATATTTAAATAATATTATTTTCTAATACATTTTTAAAATATATATATCATTCAATTTTTTTTTTTCTGAAATTCGTGGGGGGGGGGGGGCAAGTGTCTCCTTGCTCCATCCTACAGATTCCCATGGCTTAAAGGTAATTTTGTTTCAAAGAAACACAAATGCAGCTATCTATCTTACTGATTTCATTAAGTCAACAAGCCCCCAAAGCCCCACAATAAAGTTACTAATTTAGTTACAAACAATTGTGCTTGTTAATATAGCCCTATGCATAGCATGTCTTAAACCTGAGAATCAACACATTATGTATCCTGTCCTTTGCTTCTTACAGTAATTTGAACGAGAGCATATTTTTATAAAAATGATTGATTATTAACTGTCTTGGAAGTTTAAGTAAAAGATTGAGGAACAATAATTTTCTTTAGACTTTAAAAATGCTTGTGATTTTGATAAGTTACATGCTACAGTTTATTCTTGAGTTATATCAGATTCACTGGAAGATAAAAATGGCACAAGAGATGACAATTTTAAACTAGCATTCATAACATATACTTGTGAAATTAAAATAATGTAGAACATGTTTGCCCAATTTTTTGCTAGAGAAGGGTCACATAATATTTTTTAATATGGTAATGGGGATCAGATACTAGTTATCTTTAAAAATGTATCCTGGTTTTATTCGGGTTTATTGGAATTAAATGCAAGTGTATTGCAGTATAACAACACAAAAACTAAAGAACTACACCACAAAACCAAAGGCACTGAAAATAAGATGTATTTTAGCCTCATTTTTTTATTTCTTTATTTACTTATAATGTTTGCCTAATTGTATGCCTGCAGTCTGTCAGTTATACAACCCAGATTTAGGTAAAGACATAGACTGTCCGTTTTGAAAAACAAACTATGACAATAGTTTTTGATAAGTTTGCACAATTAAATTTCAGTAAATAATTTAGATTAAATTATAATTTTTGTTTTAGTTAGGTTTTGTGTAGTAAATCTGTGATAACAGCTCTAATGATATTTCTTATGAAATATCAGTTCTACTTTTATGTTCTTAACTAGGGTATAGTGTTTGTTTTCCTATTTGTTATTGACATGTATCACTTGTCCTTGTCTTCTTTCTCTGACTGAATTATGACATTGGCCAGTTCTTGATATGTTCCTCTGACTGAGTTACAATGGTAATTCTTGTCATCTTTGATTAAATTATTACACCAGTTACTGGCATGCTTCTCTGACTAAATAAAATTACAACATCAGATCTTGACATGTTCCTTTGACTAAATGAAATTACATCAGATCTTGACATGTTTCTCTGACTAGATAAAATTAGAACATCAGATCTTGATATGTTCCTTTGACTAGATAAAATTAGAACATCAGATCTTGATATGTTCCTTTGACTAAATAAAATTACATCAGATCTAGACATGTTCCTATTTCTTTATCTAATGTGGAATGTCAATATGTGTCATGTTTTTGAAGGTTTGTAACTTCTTATCATATTGATTTGAGTGAAGTGTATTATCAGTTCTTGCCATGTTTATTTGAGTGAAGTATATTATCAGTTCTTGCCATGTTTCTTTGAGTGAAGTATAATATACTTCACACAAATAAACATGGTAAGAACTGATATTATCAGTTCTTGCCATGTTTCTTTGAGTGAATATAATATCAGTTCTTGCCATGTTTCTTTGAGTGAAGTATATTATCAGTTCTTGCCATGTTTCTTTGAGTGAAGTATATTATCAGTTCTTGCCATGTTTCTTTGAGTGAAGTATAATATCAGTTCTTGCCATGTTTCTTTGAGTGAAGTATATTATCAGTTCTTGCCATGTTCCTTTGAGTGAAGTAAAATGCAGTATGAGTTTTGGTAAGTGTGATACAATCTTTCACTGTGTTTTTTAGATTATGTAACGATATTATTTTAAACATGTTTTTCTAAACTAAGTAGCATATATTGGTTCTTTTATTTGACAAAAACTTGTATCGGTTTCTATCTTTAATTAAACTGTGATAAAAGTTATTTTATTTGACTGAAGTGTGACTTGTTATTTTTTCTTGGCTGCAGATACCCAACTAGCTTTGCACCTTTGAACTCAATCGACCATTTTCTTCACAGTTATTTTTCTTGACTGATATATCATATCATTATCAGGCTCTTTTTTATTTATTTTTTCACTGAAGTGTGATTTCAGTTATTTTCCACAGTTGTGTGACATCAGTTTCTGTTCTTTGACTGATTTCAGTTCTGCTCTCTGGTAAATCGGTTATATTTTTTTATTTATTTTTTCACTGAAGTGTGATTTCAGTTATTTTCCACAGTTGTGTGACATCAGTTTCTTTTCTTCGACTGATTTCAGTTCTGCTCTCTGGTTAATCGGTTATATTTTTTAAAGTGAGATTTCAGAACTATGAAAGAAAATTTCTATACTTTTCTTTTTTAAAGTATTAACAATATATTGAATGAAATAGAAATAATTTTTAAGTGTATTATACATTTTCAGTGCATTTCCTGGGATATCAGCCGTATATTCCTTCTTCGACTTACCATGACAATCATTACCATAGTGTTGATATATACTGTTGCTCAAGTTAACGTGGTATGACTTATTCTATAATTAGTATCTATAACAAAAAATAATATTTATTTGGTTATTTAACATTTGTGTTCTCCAGCTTAACAACTTATAATAGTTATACTTCTGCTTTTGTAAAATATAATACCTGAAACAAAGCACAAAATAAATTATGTAATGAGGAATTTATAAAAACATTTTACCTAAAAATCATTGTTCCTCAAAAAGTGTTTAAATACAGCATATATATTGTTTATATTTCTTCTTTATTTTTCACTGACACTTCAAAAATATTAGCAAAATTATATTAATTAATACATATATTAGTCATTTTAAATGTTTTTTCCTTTTTAACAGTCTTTCAACAAAAGAAAGCATACTTTAAATTGTTCTCCTACTGAGAACATAAACATGTTATATTCATTACTAAGGTTGTTTCAGAAAATAAGAGTACGTAATGACAGACTTTGGGTTCTTGTTGTTATTATTATCTGTCATGTAGCCTTTGGATCTGCTTATTTCATGTCTATTTAAGCTATTTATTTGGTTATTTTCAGGATATTTTTTTTATTTTGTACGTAAAACTAATATAAATAAATGTTTTTTCTATGATTTTATAATAAAATTCTAAAGACTTTCATTACAGTATCAGTAATTCTTTAATTCACAGATTTAATGTTACTTTGTTCCCTGTGTGTTAAATAAGATGAACACTAAATTACTTTGATGATCACAGTTTAAGGTGATGTTTGTTTTAGAAACATTTAGTAATGTTCCTTCTTTTAAAAAGTCTATTTGTTCCTTTACATGAATTTATTATAGTGCTTATTTGATATATTTAGTGTAACCATAAGCCTGTTTGATTTTATGTTTTATTGGGAAGACCTTTTAATCATTTAATATTATCATTACTTCTCTTCAATCAATGTAAAATCAAATCATTTAATGGTTAATCAAATATTTGTCTGTTCTAGTTTTCCTGTTTGAAGGAGCTCACTTGTGTTCCGCTGACAGCAAATATCACCCAAATTTCACTGGCTTCTGACCATCGATCTTGTCCGATACCTCATTATATATACATCAGTTGTTGCTTGTCTTTCTTTCCCATTGTTATTTTCCTCCGATTTCCTATCCTCCTGAAAGGAGCACTGTGTTTGCCCATGGCAGCTATTTACCTCCTGGTGATAGAATTGACACATACATCAGTATTTGACTGCTATGACATGCGTACTGGGTAAGTGAACTAAATAGCTCTAAACAGAGGCATCGCTAGGCACTGGCGTGTGGGGGACCATGCCCCAATTCTGTTTGACAGAGTCCTAAATCCCCATTTGGCATGTTGAAAAATCAGAACAGAAAACCATGATTGATAGCATATTGAAATGTCAAAACTTCCTGCACACATATAGGCCTGAGCCTCAAATCTTTTAAGCACCTGGTGACACTTCTGGCTCTAAACATTACATGTACAAGATGTTTTAGAAGATAATACGTTTGTTTAAAATGCATAATAAAAAAAGGTTAACAGTCTAAGCATTTGGCCACAGCTCTAAATGTCTTACTAAACATTTTAGAACAACGGAAAGTAGGAATAATACACAGGCTTCAGCTTTTCTGGGTGAACAGTTTTTATCAGAGAATTGCCCAATGCTTCAGTTACAGATTTCATATGAACCTGGATTCCATAACTGAAATATATAATCCTCTAATAAAAACTGTACGATGTTTCAGTTACAGACTTTATCCGAAGCTGTATTCGTAACTAAAACATAACATGATCCTCAAACAAAAACTGTTCACCAAGAGAAGCTAGAACTTGCATTATTATATTGTAAGAAAGATATTTTATGACTTAACTTTTCTCAACTAGTCAACTTTGAGATACCTCATAGGTGAAGCAAATGATGTGTGAAAATTTGAAAGAACGAAGGACGATTAAAAGACAACTATTTACTATACACGACCATAAGTTTAGAGAAACTTGAAGTTTCTTACTGATGTCTAAAATAAACCCAGTCAGACAGCATGTGATCATTAGCTCACTATAAAATGTGTATACCATAACCATAAAAAACATTTTTCAAGTAAGCTTGACTATGGTCACCACTTTAGTAGGAGTTAGATCTCTTCAGTGATTACCATTATAGTTGTACTAATTAAACATATTTTGTTAATTACAACAGAAATATATTTTGGGCAGTTCCTACCACAGTATAAACTGTTTTATGGTGATTAGACATAAAACTAACTTGGTGAAACATTATAAAATCTTATGTTTATTTGCGAGTTAATATCGCTAACTACAAAAGGCTTATTTCCTTTGTCACTCTGTCAAGAACACATTCACACCCCTTTTTTGGTAATGCTCAACAATATACTGTTATGCCTCTGCGTTCGTTTGTTAATTTTCCGTAAAAATTCTTTCCGAAGAAACTTTAGCGACACAAGTCCTTTCTTAAATAAAACTAGTTTATTCTTTCTCAATACAACTTTGCAATACACTTAATTTCCACGGTCACACTATAAATTGAACAAATGCTATAATTCACAATGAACGATTCACGCTCTTGACTCAATTGTCTGTCTCTATCTCTGTCTGCATTCAATTCCA